TGTAATACATCTCTGTTTTGATTTCTTTCATCAATGTTTTTGTATTTTCCAGCTATAGTGCACAACTTTTTAAAGACTTTATACACAACATCTACAGTTTGGTGCTACTGTAAGCAGTGGCTCAAAAAATTATAAACTTCTCATTGGTTAGTGCTCGTTTACAGAAATACAAAGGGTCTTCCAAAGTTCAGAGAAAAATGTAATGAAAAGAATGGAATTTCCCCATACTTTAAAAAATCATGGTGTGACCAATGTTTTGTATATTAGCTTGTATTTTTCAAACTCCCTAAAAAGTTTTCATAGCATTTTTGGGTAGATTCTTTGGGGTTTTGTCAGTCAAGTTGTATGTGACCAGACAGTCTTATTTCTTCTTTCCCAATTTGTACCTCTTTTATTTCTTTCTGTCTTATTGCACTGGCTAGAACATATGAAATAATATTAAACAGAAATGAGGGTGGATATCCTGGTCTTGGTCTCAAATTAGGGAAAGTATTCAGTCTTTCTAATCCAAACCCAAACTCACTAATAAAGAGTTGATTCTGAGTTATAGCAATCCTCTAGGATAGCACAGAACTGCTTCCCCCATCCCCCATCCCTGCCACCCCCCCGTGGGGTTCTGAGGCTATAGATCTCTATAGGGGCAGAAAAATCTCACCTTCCGTGACTGACTAGGGTGTTCGAATTGCTGACCTTGTTGTTAGCAGCGCAATATGCATCCCATTTCACTACTCCCTAGGCTCTTCTATTTCTAGATTATTAAAAGTTCTTGTCATGAATTTTGTTAGTGGCTTTTAAAAAATAACATCTCCAGGGATGATCAAGGAGCCCTGGTAGTTTAGTGGGTTACACGTTTGGCTCTTAACCACAAAGGGAGCTGTTCAAATCCAACGGCCACTCGGTGGGAGAAAGATAGGGGCTTTCTGCTCCTGTAAGGATTTCATAGCCTTGGAAACTCACAGGGGCAGCTCTACTCTGTCCTATAGGGGTGCTGTGAGTTGGACTTGACTTGGCAGTGAGTTTAGAGATGACCGTGAATTTTCTTCTTTAATCTACTGATAGGATCACAGCATCTGGTATTTGAAAGCTGAACCAGTCTTATACTACTGGATAAGTCTCATTTTATCAATGATCTGTCTGGGATATTGCTGGATCGATTTTGCTAGGATCTAATTATCTCACGTATGTTCCTGAGGACACTGCACTGGTCTAATGTCCTTTTCGATAATACTTTTTGTCTGGTTAACATCAAAGTAATACTATTCTTATAAAAAGCACTGAAAAGTAGTCTTCTTACAAGTGTGCAATTGAATTATGGATTTTTATATAAGACTTTCAAGAGCCCTCCCACCAATAAAATGATCAATAAAAAAAAGAGGTCTTTTTTGATGTTAGAATTGGTATTAAGTCTTCTTACTAAATTTGGAAGAACACACCAATGAAGCTACCTGGACCTAGAGTTTTCTATATCAGAAAAGTTGTAACAAAAGCAATTTATTTAATAGATATACAGCTGTTCAGGCTAGCATACTTTTTTCTGTGTTGGCAGAATGTCTTTTAAAGAATTGTCCATTGTTTGTCAAATTTATGTGTAGAGTTGAAACATGTCTTAGAACTGTCTAAGTTTATTTTTACTTCCTGATTTATGGCTAATAATCAAAAGGATGCAAACACCAGGTGAGCATAAAAACAATGATCCAACAAAATGTTTGTGTAGTCAATATTCTTATTCTACTATTATTATTATTTTTTAAGTTCCTAAACCAAACTTTGGAGGAGCCTGGTGATATAGTGATATAGCTTTAGGCTGCTAACATTTAGGCTAGCGGTTTGAAACCACCAGCTGCTCTGTGGGAAAAAGAGGTTTGCTACTGCCAAAAACAGTTAATAGTCTCAGAAACCCACAGGGTAAGTTTAGTTCTGTCCTATAGAACAATTTATGAGTTGGACCAGTACGATGGTAGTGAGGTTTTTTTTGGTTTGTTTTTGGGGGGGAGGGGAACAAAATTAGGAGACA